GCAAAGCACTACTGGGCTAGCATATGGGCTGCTTATAAGTATAATAATTTTAATTTTAAGCATGTGCTGAATATGATCATCTTAAGTTTTTGTTTAACGTGATCGTAGCGATATGGCCTAGCTTTCACGGGATCTTCACTTTTAAAATTAATATCATGATGTGCAATCTGGGTGAGGCCTGGAGTTTCAGAAAATAAAACTGAATACTTTCTTAGCAGCCCTTCCAATTTTTTTCTGCCTTCGGTTTTCACATGTGCCAGGTTCAAGTCAGGAGGTTCCATAGCTTCCACTTCCACCTGTTTCATATGCAGTTGTAGAGTCTCTTCCTGAAAATTAATTTGGTCTCCCGTTATTTTTACGAAATCGGTACCTAAAATTATTAAAGTTTGTAAATTTCAGCCTACAAAAAATATAGATTTTTGCACCTCGTTCATTATCTCCACATTAAACGTCGGTTTACCTATACATGAACAAAGTTTGCCCTGCGCTGCAATAACTTTAGTATTTCGAACTTTGAATAATCTATCATTTTTTAAATTGTTTCGAAAAAAATGTTCCGAAAGGAAATTTGCTTGCGCCCTAAATCCACTAAGGCCTCTGCTGGCATATCATTTATAATGTGTATAACAGATAGGGATAAATATTTATTATCACCATGTTCAGCTGTACTTTTGAGAGATTTTTATTCGGGTCACTGTACCCTCCTTTCATCCAACTGTCCTAGTTTAACTCCTTTTTTTGCCCCCCTTTATAGAATCTTGCACTCTATTTCGGCGATCACCTTTCTTCTTATCTTGAAATTTAGTCCCGGTATTGAATTTCTTCGATTGTTCTGAATACGGCCTAAAAAACTGTTCGTTTGGTCTCTGGTGAAAACTTCTCCGTACGTGTACTTTCTGCTACCCTCCTACTCTTGAATTTCACCTTCAGCTCAAACAGTTGTTCTAGACCGCTGGGGTTCCTCACTTCAATATAATCTTGAACTTACGGCAGTAATCGAGACAAGATAATTTGAATTAACTCTGCATTGGGTTTTTTCCCATATAACAAATTAGAAACTTGCGTAAAATAAAGTTTTAGAGCTCCTTAACTTTAAATTAGTACTTACCGTATAATTCGGCCTGAAGCCTAGCTCTACCTTAGACCATGAGGAACGCTTTTACCAAAGTAGCTTTAAAATTTTCAAACGTATATGTGGGGCTGCCTATCTCCCCCCAGACGAAATTTTTCGGTGCCTTTGAACCAACGTAGAGCGTGTCCTCTTAAAATATCGCAGTCGTTGCTGTCGTAATAGTCTGGACTTCGGGAACGAGATAAAGTAAAAAATAATTTTCTAAATTTTCTAGGAAGCTAGTGACCGATGCTCTTCCGTCGAATGTCACTGTGTGTTTTATGGAGGCCCGCATTATTTTAATGAAGTAGCCAAAACCTTCCATTATGTTACCAAGAGCCTGTGGAGTTTGCAATGTCGATGGGGCTAGCTCAACTGCACCGTCGTTATCATCCATGACTTTTGAAAAATTTGGGCGCCACTTGTAAGATCCGTCTCTTGTATTCCCCATAAACTAACCAGATCCTGCAATGAACCTGGCGAATTTTCGCACAAGCGTAAATGAATTACCAGCACAGAAGAAGGGGGAAAATAACCTTTATTTAATTCCAACAATTAATAAAAAGGCACGATTTTCGTGCTTTACAAAAACACCGTCAACTAGCCATGAAACTGAAAAGTAGAATATCAAAACTAAGATAAAATAAATTCAAAACTAAGATAGAATAGTGCTGGATTAGCAGGTTAAATTAGATCTAACAGTTTGCCTCAACAAAAACCTATCAGACATGACGATAATCCGAAATTGCGAGAGGCGTACTAGCGTAACAGTGAGATAGCAACGAAACGTGCGCTGGTTAGCGAAAACACGCTCTGAATAAACTCAGAGATTCACCCGTTTAAATAATCCCTTCACTTAACTTTAAATTTACATCCTGGCGAGAAAATTCGAGGGGAAGTTGGGGAGTTCAGGAAAGGTATTAAACTTAAAATAAATTTGTTATGCAAAATAAGTAAAACCCTGCATCCTTATATGCATAAATATTGTTAGATTGTAGTCGAATATATAATGTTCTGGCCTGCCCCTGTCACCGCATACACAGAAATTTGTTTGTTTGAAGTTTCTTTCTAAAAGGTATGTCTGATAGGGACCGTGTCCAGAAATATGACATGCTATTTGTCGTTCTTCGAATTTGAGAACTTCAGATATGTCAGAGAAGATTGTGTAGGTTCTTTCTTGTGGGGCTGACTGTTATTAGTTTTTCCATAACTGCTGTTCTTTTATGTTGCAGGTCCTTTTTAGATTGAAAATAGGTCATGGAATGTTGATATTGAGGGCTCTCATTCCTCTTGCAACTTCTTTTGCAAGGGCATCTACTCCGTTGCCTTGAAGACCTCAGTGTTTTTTAACCCAGTCTAGGTGGAACTTTGCTTGTGGGTAATTGTTTTGTAATATGGTAATTTGCTTTTGTAATATGGTAATTGATTTTGTAATTTGGTGGAATAAATCTGTTTGTTTTCTTGGATATGCTATTGCATATAATGCTGAGAGAGTCTGTGAAAATATTGATGCTTTGTGTATTATTGGAGGTGATATATGTTATAGCTTGCAAATAGCTCTGCTTGATAAACGCTATTTTCTCTGGGAAGTTTAAATTTCTGTGCTTAGGTATCTAATTGGTTTTTGAATACTTTTATTACACATCTTTTGCTTTCTTTTAGATCTGATCCGTCTGTTAAAATCTTTGGGAAATTGTTACTTGCCGCTTCTGTATACGAGTCTTTGAATGAGCAGCAGATGTTTTGCTTCGAATTAATGTGTAGTTCATATGGGTTTGTTGGGATTTCTAAGTTTCAATCCATTAGAAGGATATTGTTATATTCACAGCTCGATCTTAGTTGTGGCACTGTTGTGATTGCATGTTCTTTTCTTGCTCTGATGAACAGAGGGATGGTTTTTGTAAGTGTATAAAGTAGCATCCGAGGTTGTTCTGTAAGCTCTGCTTTGACTAAGCAGGAAAGGGCACTGGATTGCTAATAATTGTTTACCTTTTCTTTCGCCCATTGGGAATGCCCAAATTTCTGCCTCATATATTGCTATTTTTCTATGACTGTTGTATACTTATGTGATTTTTTGAATGAGAGGGTGTAATTTACGGTTATGTTCTTGCATTTTTCTTATATTACTTGCAATGATACTAGTTTTTTGACGGAGGTATTTGAGGTGTTCTGTGAATATGAGTTTGATACTATTATGATGCCCAAGTACATGTGATGCTTGACGATTTTTATCTTTTTATTGTTGATATCGAAGTGAGGAAGACGTATAATACTTTGACCTGGTTTAGTAACGATAAGAGTTTTAGATTTTTCTTCTGATATTGAAAGCTTTTGTTTAAGGTAGAGATTGTTGAAAATATACAGTGCTTCATTTGTATTATCTTTTAGATGTTTTCCGTAGTTTCCTAAGATTGCTAATTCTAGCTCGTCTGCAAATGTGAGGCATGAGGTTGAATCTGGTCATGTGTTAGTAATTATTTTGTTAAATGTTAAGTTCCAGAAATCTGCACTAACATAGGATCCCTGTGGGCGTCATCTTTCTTGTGTTCTCTTTCTATTATTCTATTATTGGTGATTATAATGCTTTTCCTATCTTGAAAATAATTTTGAAAAACAATGAATGCATTTTTTGGACATTTTCAAAATCTTACTGCGTCCAGGACCTCTCGCCACTAAAGTGAGTCAACGGATTTTTAAGATCAAGAATAAGAGTGCAGTGTGCATGTTGTTTGTTTTGTTTCTTGTTATCTTGTGTATTACTTCGGACTTCGGAATTTGCTTGAGGGATGTGTTCGGAGGCGGTTGCTAGTGCTCGTTCGAATACCTTTCCTAGTATTTTGGAAAGGAGATTTATTGGGCGATACAAGCCTGCTGTTTTTTGGATCATGACCTTTCTTATGGAACAGGATATTTCGTCCTGTTTTAAAGTTTGTTGGAAAGAGATTAAGTTCGATGCATTTGTTCATAAGGTTACGAAATAGGGATGGAAAGTGAAAATATATAATATTAATGAGTACATTGTCCATTCCACCCGGTCCTGGTGCTTCCTTTTTCGGTAGTCTGTTTTGAAAGTGATACATTGTCTGCTTTATTTGAGGGAAGTGTATTCCCTCTTATTACTGCTTGAAGTTCTGAATCTTCTTCGGGAGGATCCTTTAAGAAGACTGCATTCAGAATCTCCTGTATTACTTTGCTAGTAGAGTCTTCTTGAGAAAATTGTGTCAAGCTCTTTCTGAGATATGTATGTGACTTGGTTTGACCACTTTAATTAGCAGATCTTGTATAGTGGGCCATATGTATCATTGTTGTAACTTGAATATCTTGATTTATTCATTTATTCTTTAGGTTATATTTATATTTTCTGTTATTAAGTAGAAAGCTATATGATGTTACCACTCTGTCGACAGCAGATCAGAATTTGTGTTTAACAGTCAAGAATCTATTTAGGTAACTATTAATGGGGATGAGTTACTTGGTTGTTTTTCCCCATAATTAATTGTTTTTAGAGATATGGTGATTCCACTCTATTGAAATTAAACCCTATTTGGGTTCGTTAGTAAAGGTTTACAAAGTTACACAAGGGTCCGGCCAAAATGTCGCCAAATGGTCGAAAATATGGCGATTTCTCGCCAAATTTGGCTAAAAAACCATTGCCAGCTTGGTGCTATCTCGGCAATTTGGAGAGCTGTTAAATGGACTGTAACCCTATTTTTCCGTCCCGTCAATACATCGCACTCTTGAGACCTTTCATGATCTGTTATACAAGAGATACTACAATTTACATATAATTTCACTAAAAGTATTTACATGTGTGCAAAATTCGTAACAGTATGTATCATTATGTTAAGGAGTATGAAAACTTAATTTTCTTAATTTTTTTTATTTTTAGATGAAAGGGATGCTGATTGGCAATCGAGAAGAATTAAAAAGATGGTTGCAATCTATGATTATGATCCTCAGGAAATATCTCCTAACGTGGACGCCGAGGTTTGTTACATTTTTTTTTCAAGTAAACATATAATATGCAGTACGTATAATTTTCGTGTTCTTGTTTATATCGAAAATCAAACCTCAAGCCTGCCGAGTCACGTCTTAATCATTTTCCTTACCTTTTACTTATACCGTATCAAAGCAATAAACTTAGATTTGTTCTTCTTAAATAATAATTAATATATGTAAATAATAAATCGCCTACAAATGTTTGAGCAAAAAATTAGAATACTACTAGTAAAAGTTTTATATTTTCGATAGCAAATATTATAAGATTATGAAGCTTTGTTCTGCACGTAGGTGAAATTTAGAAACAGAAATGAGAAACAAACCCGACAATTAAGATATACCACGCTGCTATTTTAACATAATTTCGCTCACTGAAGCTGTGTGACGTTCTTGTTCCTGTGTAGTCATGCAGCTACAGTTTAAAACTTAACCTTCAATTTAAAAAAATCATTATGTGGAAATAATCTTTAGTTAAATAGATAAAACTTCATTTTATCCAACTTTCATATTTCCTGCAACTAATCAGCAATGAAAATGCCACATGCGACATTACAAAGCTGGTTATCGGAGAACTGCTTCGAGTTAAAGTTTAATTTGCATCTTTGTACCTCATTTCGTCTCGTACTCACACATTCCAAATAATTATGCATATCTGAGTTGCAAGCCATTTAGTATAAAATTAAGGAAAGAACTCGTAACCGTATCTCCATTTGATTCTTGGATCTGTGTCCCCTCAGCAAGCCCTATACATGAACTCACTTTTCTTGGTGAAATTCAAAATATACGCAAGAAAAGGCCCTGCGCCTTGATGGAATTACCAACATTAAAAAGGCCCCGCGCCTTGGTGGAATTACCAACAATATGTTATGTTACGAAATTTACCTTCCAACATTATCGCCAAATTCAGTAAAATTATCAATTTCTGCTTCATTCTAAGTTATTTTCGCAATCCTTGGAAGATTCCTTTATTCTCACCAAGCCTAGAAAGAATAACCCCAGAGTGAAGAATTTTCGCTGTATAAATTTGCTTTCCAGTCTTTTTAAAATTTACGAACGCATTATCATATTTATGGTGAATCCATATCTTCAGCTACTTCCCTCCGATCATACAGATTCAGGAAGCATCTGTCTACTTCAAAGCAACTAGTCAGACTAGTTGAATTTATTCTGGCAGCTCTGCACCATAAGAATGCACGGCACTCCTTATGTTAGACTGTACGCCAAAGCCACGGAGCAGACTTCCGTCCTAGAAATCCATGCGGAATGATGCCTGTTCGATGGATGAACCTTATGCTATACTTGGCGAAAGCATTCGACCACGTCTGCCATAAGAGTTTTGATCTTCAAACTGACCAAGGTGAATGTTAGTCGGGAAATTATTCTTCGCCTCAATCCCTTCCTTATCGACCGAACATTTAGTATCAGTCAAGGAAATGTACATTCAGCCTTCAAAACCATCACTTCACGAGTGCTCCCGGATTTCTGTCTCGAACCTATCCTCTATCTGTTTTACGTAATCGATTTTCCCAGAGATAAACTGGATCATAACGATATGTTAGCTTGCTATGCCGACTATACGGCGGTTCCCGTGCTCTTTATCCAACTCAATAATGCCATCTCCAAACTCCAAGATTTGGTTTTAGATATTGAGGACTGGTACAGAAAATGGAGAATAAGTGTAAATGGCTCAAAGATCCTATTGGTAAGGAGGTGCAAGATTCGAAATATAGCATTGAACAACCTGTTTTTATTTGAGGAAATTGGGAGCGGTGTAAATAATGTAAGTTATCTAGGAATTAGCAAAGCCTCACATGGACTTGTCATATTAAGCATGTCAGAGGAAAAGTCTGTCGTATCGCTAATCAACTTTCTGCGCTCCTCGTAAATTACTCTGGACTATCTCTCAACAAAATACAAGGGTATACCTATGCATTATAAGGCCAACTCTATGCTATGCATCTGCAACATGAGCGTCAGCCTCAAAGGCAAGACTTCCAAAAACTTCAGGTAGTAGAGAATAATATTCTGAGAAGAACTATAATTGCACATTACCCGATTAGAAACAAATTGATCCATGACGACTTGAAAATCTACCCTATAGTAATGTAGTTTAGTAATCTACATCACTAAACTTAATAAGCGTTTCTTTAAAACTTGATTTAGTTGTAGTGCTGCAAGTTTTCCAGAAGTTCTTAGTTACCAAATCATTTCAGAAGAAAATTTGATCAGACTATTTGCTACTCACATGAGTACAGGTCACTACACACACTGTAACATGCGTAGATTATCTCTCTTCACTTTCCATTACATTGGCACACATGCAGTAAAGGAGACAATGGTCTCCCCACTTTTAGCTCAGTTTCTTGACCATTCTTGGAGTTCCACCTGATAGCTTATCAAATTCATATACCCTCAGTGGCTTAATTTTCTTACCTAGCTTATTAAAGCCCCTTCTGGGTCCACATAAGAAATTTATAATCATTATCAATATCGTAACCATATGAGTGTATTTGATCAACGTTGGGTGTACTCCCGTCGCACCAGCGAAATGTCGCTGCTCTAGAGGTTGGAATTTCCAGACGCTAGTTGTAGTTACGCTAGGTAGTAAGTTAAGACTAAATCTAACGTTTCGTTGCCAACCCGTAGGTCCTCGATCAGAAAATATTTATATTTGTGATAAAGAGTCTGGTAAGCTCCAGTCTTCACTGCAGAGTCCAGGAAGCTAGTAATTTGTTTTGTAATATTTTAACTTCTCCCTCAGAAATGTTGAGGTAGAATTAAATTTAAGTTAAAAATACTTTATTTGCTTTGTGTGCTTTCGCAATCTTCATAGCTTTTAGGTAACATTGCAGGATAAAGGTTAGATATGAAATAGTTATTTGTTAAAATTAGGCTCTTACAACTGTTAGAAGTTTCTTGATTTGTCTGTTATGGTAAAGCACGCAAGAATTACTTATATTAGTAATAATATCTTCATCAAGGACTTTCTAAGTATTCAGAGATCTTTTCCTTTGTCACTTACTCTGTTCAATTGCCTTTAGATCATGCATTGCACTATAGCGAAGTGATTTAATTACAGTAGGCAATATGAGGAATGCAGATACCGTAACAACATCATAAGTGATCTATCCTACATATTACCACGCCATTATTTTAAGAGAAATAAAATTATCGATGCTGCTATTGCAAATGTTCATGAAAACTGCTCGGCGTATTAATTCAAAAAAATCAAACTGACCTTCATTCCAAAATGAATTGCATTCGATACGCAGAGCTTTGCGTCGTCCGAAATGTGAATCGTAGAACACCAGAAAAGTAACTGTTTTCTCATTAGTTACTGCTATTTTTCAGGTTGCTAGCCTATGTATCAGTGTATTAGAACAACTGGCGATATAACTGAAATTTTCATATTTAGTGAGAAGTCCTTTTTATGCGGTACTTCGCAGAATAGCCGAATGCAAGACTGAAACTCTACTTTTTTTGGACTGTTTATATTTTGCAGTCTATCAACAATTCTGAATTCATGGTCCTTAAGTGGAACTCTAGAAGCATGGTACAGCAAAATACAAATAAAACTGCAACAGCATTAAGACCGGATTATGCAAATGCAATAGAACTATGATTGTAATTAGACCATAAATTTACAATACAGCTCTTTTGTGTAATTACAATTACGAAACCATTTTAATTAAAATATAATTTTAATTATATTTAGATTATTAAACGAATTGGCATTGAAGAGAGAACTGCAATGTAATTACCTTCGTGTAATGTGTAATTCCATACGCAATGCCATCGCCTTCATACAATTACAATCACGCTATAATTAAATTACAGTGTAACTGAAATTAAATAATAGTAATTATGAAACCAGTTATGAAGCTTGAGATATTCTACTTACTTTCATGACATTTCTCAGATTTTAGAAATTGTTCGAAATGTGCAAAAGGGAATTCCGCTGCTAGTATATTATAGAAGCTTGAAAAATGCACAGCTTAGGATTCGAGATAAAGATAGCATAATTATACCACGTATTTCCTGTAAGTACAGGTAAAACGAAAAACTAAATCAAATAATTTCATAAAGTTAAAAAAAGAGTTATATTTAAGTATTTATATACGTATGGAATCTACTCAATATTTATAAACGCACAAAATATGTAATACTTAGATTAAATATACAATAGTTCCAATGTTATGCTCTTATCAAGCTCTCACGAGAGAAATTTGGCCATTTTTTTCCTCAACCTTTCAGCGTCTCGTTTCGCTTCATTTTCATTATGGATTCCAAAGAAGTTTCTTCTTAGAACAGAACTGACAGCTTGAATTTATACGCCCGACAGTTCACAATCCTATTAAAAAATATTAAGCAATATCTTTTTATCTTATCGATGTATAAAGCTGTTTTAATTGAGCTGTTGAATAGTATGTTAGATCAAAATTTATGACTGGCGAAAAAACTAATTGCTTTGTAAACAATGCTGAAGGTCGTATAAGGAAATTTAACAAAAGACAATTACGAATCTATTCAGCGGAATAAAGTGAAATGTACAGTGTGCTGAATGACTGGTTTTATGCCCGAGACAAGATAATACACATAAAATTGCAATATAAAATTTAAAAAAAGGGAGCGTATGAAGTTTTGACTTTCAGTTGTCAACACAATGGCCCACTGGATATGTTCTTCAAACTAAACAGAAAGCTTAGAGTAGTTAAATAAATACATTTAACTCAAATGTTTAGAAATAACTCAAATAGAACGCCTGTTCTAACATCTAACTCATATGTTAGAACAGGCGTTAGACCCCCATTTTTAAATTAAATTTAAACTATTAATTTAAGATTATTGATTTCTACAAGTCTAGGTTTGAATCTCTGAAAAATCTTTCATGCTTAAGCTAAATATTAAATGCATATATCAGATGAGCTTTAGTACCTTAAAAATATGCGTCGTTTCCTATTTCTGAAATTTTTGAAGCATTGCAGATG